TTTTTTTTATGAGAAGAACATCAACATAATGCATGATTACGGCAGTCCATAGCTTCCCTGACAAAAATTCACCAAAAAAGTTAAATATTCCAAAAATATTTCTGTGTATATATTGCTAAATGTGTAAATAACATGTATATAAAAAAGCAAAGCTTAATTTTAAATTTCATTATCCTTTCCACAGGAAAAGCATCAAAATACTGCATAAGTACGGCACTTTTGCAGCCGCATGATTACGGCAGTCCATAGCTTCCCTGACAAAAATTCACCAAGAAAGTTAAATATTCCAAAATTTTTCTGTGTGTAAATTGCTAAATATGTAAAAAACATGTATACAAAAAAGCAAAGCCCAATTCCAAACCCAAATATTTTTTTTATGAGAAGAACATCAACATAATGCATGATTACGGCAGTCCATAGCTTCCCTGACAAAAATTCACCAAAAAAGTTAAATATTCCAAAAATATTTCTGTGTATATATTGCTAAATGTGTAAATAACATGTATATAAAAAAGCAAAGCTTAATTTTAAATTTCATTATCCTTTCCACAGGAAAAGCATCAAAATACTGCATAAGTACGGCACTTTTGCAGCCGCATGATTACGGCAGTCCATAGCTTCCCTGACAAAAATTCACCAAGAAAGTTAAATATTCCAAAATTTTTCTGTGTGTAAATTGCTAAATATGTAAAAAACATGTATACAAAAAAGCAAAGCCCAATTCCAAACCCAAATATTTTTTTTATGAGAAGAACATCAACATAATGCATGATTACGGCAGTCCATAGCTTCCCTGACAAAAATTCACCAAAAAAGTTAAATATTCCAAAAATATTTCTGTGTATATATTGCTAAATGTGTAAATAACATGTATATAAAAAAGCAAAGCTTAATTTTAAATTTCATTATCCTTTTCACAGGAAAAGCATCAAAATACTGCATAAGTACGGCACTTTTGTAGCCCCCCTGACAAAAATTCACTAAAAGAGGTAAGTATTCAAAAAAATATTTTGGTATATATATTGCTAAATGTGTAACAAACATGTATATAAAAAAGCAAAGCTTAATTCTAAGTTCTAATATTTTTTATAAGAAAAGCTACAAAAGCAAATAGGGAGAAGTGAAGCCATTTAGCCATTTTCAAAATCTGATTGTGAAAGAGTAAAAAAATGAGTAAATATGAGCAAATATAAAGAAAAAGTATTGCTAAATGTGTAATAAACATGTATATAAAAAAGCAAAGCTTAATTCTAAGTTTTAATATAAAGAAGAAATAAGACACAAAAATGAAGCTAAATTCAAATGAAAAACTATAACAAATTAATAAAAAAAAATAAGACCTAATTCAAATGCCACCATCATCAGACAAAAGAAAAAATGAGATTTTATTCTTTAGTTCATTTATTCTTCTGTCTGATGCTGTTGCTGAAACGTCACACACTATTGAAGACACTATAAAAGATAGATTAAAAGTAATAATTCAATCTACAATTCGAAAAATAATATAACCTGGTGAGTTCCCAGAAAAGTTTAACTTTGGTAGGCGGCGCTGTACGTTGACACCGCCGTACCTTCGAGCCGTTTTACACGAGTTAAAGCGAAGATTTTGGACATAGTGATTTTTACATTTCGATCTTTTATATTAATATATATACTTACTATTTCGAATTATTTTTCTAAAAACGAACATTATTTTTTTTAATTATCTGAAACTAACCTAATTCAACTTATCTAAAACTAACCTTATTTAGCGATTAAACTAACATAATTTAACCTATTTGAATCTAACCTCATATACACTTTTACACTACCTTTTCATTTCAAAATTAAATTAAAATAAGTTTATATTAAATAATAACATTTTTAAAAATCGGCTTTCTGGTTCACACTTTTGTATCTAATCAATTATGTATTTCTTTATTTCTCTCTATAAAAGTACGCAATTGTAAACAAAAGAATTGATGATGATAAATGCAAAAAATCTACGATTGTAAAATAGATTAAATTAAAAAATAAAAATAACTGTTAACATTAGGAAAATAAAAACAGGCCTATCATACGAAGAAAAAAATAACGAAAATTTTGGTATATAGATCGTTATGTGTAGTTCAGAATCTTCGGAGGAGATAGCTCACGACTTTACAATGGAAAACTCTGTTACGGTATTATCTATATAGATGGAATTATAGAGAAAAAAGGGATTATATAAATATAAAAGTATATATGTATATAAGGTGTTGGTGTGTGCTGAAGATTTGTTGAATTTGTCAAAATAAAGGATTTTATTTTGTGTTGTCTGAGATTTGAAACAACCAATAGGTAGAAAACAGCGGACACATCAGTCAAGTAAGGGATCATGCTATACTCAATGAGTTAAAAGCTCGAAGGATCAACTTAAATGACGTATACCAAGGTGAAGAGAGACCGATCCACATGTAAATTGGTTCGGACTTGCTTAGCAGCATTCTGACAGGTAAAATGCAAATATTGCAAAGTGGAGTTGTAGCAACAGAAACCAAGCTGGGGTGGACAAAGCCACAACACCAGCTTTGCTTAATTGAGAAGCATCCACATGGAGACTATGGTTTCTGGCTAATGGTCCTTGTCAGTCTAGAGCAAATTTTATTTTATGAGACCCATAAGGAAATATTTCAATAGGTAGAAAATCTTAGAGAAATAAAAATAAAATGTTTAAGATGATTTAACTTCGAATATCTTGCAGGAATCAACGTTAAACATAACCCGGGAAAACTAAATAAAGGAAAGAGAACAAATTACAAACGTTTGATCAATATTGTCTGGACGGTTACCATCTCTCTCCTAGTAATTACAAATGACGGGTAACGCCCTTCTTTTCTAGCGTTGTAATGATAATAATGATGATAGCATATTGTATTGGAAGGCAGCCGATTGTAAAATTGAGGGAGTGATGGCTTAATTATGGCAGACGACTTCCCTCTTCATTAGACGCAGAAGACAAACTGATAGGGGCGAAGAGAGAGGAAAAAACGTACCATTAGGAGAGTCGAGTCAATCGGTCAAATTGTAATTTTGAATTAAATTTTCACTGATTCTTTCCTTTTTAATGTATGATTGTTATTATTACTATGATATATTCGGCTTGAATTCCGTTTTCGGTTAAATATATAAACATATATATATATATATATATATATATATATATATATTATTTTGTTATAAATGATATCCCAAAATATAATTGTGTTTATATGTCTGTTTTTTTTAGTTGAAAATTATTATGATAAATAAGTGATGATAAAATTAAATTTTACGATAGTTTGTTTGCAATAGTTCTGTATAAGTTCGTAGAACGAGTATTCCACTATATAACTAGGGTGTTCCATTTAAAAGAACGATTTTACAAAGCTGTAGCTCTCTAAAAAAAGTGGGCGATTCTAGTACTGTTATATTGACTCGAAAGAACAAACATTGATTTATATTTTATGAAAAAATCGATTTTTAAATATGTTAAATGCCTGAGAGGTTACGTTTTAGATTTTTCGAAGAGAAATACTCATTAACGCAAATTATTAAAATTTCGAAATGAAATAATATTTCTATTATTAGGCGCACAATCTGTTGAATAATAAAGGAAAACAAAGAAAATATCAATATCTATGAAATAAATAATTTAATCTATTATTTTAAATATACTTCCAGTCTATTTAGCGTATATTTTATTTATAAAACGTTTAGTTCATTATTTATACAGTTGTCGTGGAGTATAACTCCTGAATCCATCCAGGTTCGAACCTTGAAAAGCAAATTTTTTTAAAGAAAGGCTAGCTCTCCTATAAAACGTTTGGTGACATTATTCAGCGATAGAGTGACATAACGCTTTTCTGCAGGTATCAATAACAAGAAGCTCCGTGAAAGAAATAGCTATGAATTGTTTTTATAAATAAAAGATAATTCGCTGAAGGAAGTATTTCTCCGTCATTCTGATTCTCACAGTTCTCCCCGTCTCTCCCACATACGTAGCTTCACACTGCAGACATGATATTGATTATATGACATTATGTTCTGAGGGAATCTGCATGTAGCCGTGAGAATCAGAATGGCCGAGCATCAAAGATCTGTTAAGAGGATGGATTCCCGTTCTCTCCTATACCAGCATATTTACAGAACAGGCCATTCATTTAATATTAGCGAACCCTCAACCCATTACCATGAAAGAAAGAACAAGTACCATCGCCTTGTACTGGAATTTTTACTTGCAGAAAACACAAAGCATCAATTGATCCATAGATGTGCCCGACATATATGATAGTATAATTCCGGAATCTCCAGTGCCTAAGTACGTTTTCCCAACATCATCCATACCATCAATATTTATTTGGTGTCTTTGGTCTCAATATTATTTGTATCCTTCCTTTAATCACACATAGCTTCAATAGTACATTAGTATTAACTAATAATCCATAGTTTTAAGACTTGGTGGTGGTGGTGTCTTGCCCATGGAGCAGATCGGTCCGTGCACCCTTATCATAATACCAACCCACAAAGGTGCCTTGTTCGTATGGATGTCCTCTTCTGGATTGATGTCTGTTATATAGAGGGCTGTAAGGTTGGCCGGGCAACTGTATATGTGGTCCAGAGGTTTTAAGACTTAAATGTATTATGTTAATTAGTATTTTTGCATATCAAAGTCATATTTCCTACTTCTTTGTATGTAAATATATATATATATTTTTTCAATTTCTAAGCTTTTGTATCGTAATTATACCTGTCAAACGGCTGTTACACCCGACTTGTATTGTCGTGATAAAAAAAGAAACTTTTCTTCACCGAATCGTCTTTTATTTATTTATATTAATTTTTTACCGAAGGGATATTATAATATTAACATGTTTCTTTTTATACTTACAGATGGCTATAATTAAAATATACAAGTATCAGAGTCATCAATCAATTCTTAATTCTTTCACCGTTTGCTTTTGTGAATGGAATAAATACACAAATATGGCCATTTCTCATAAGCATCGATGGTTCAGTGGTAAAATGCTCCACGCGGTAGGTCCGGGTTCGATTCCCGGCCGATGCAGTTTTTTTTTTACAATTTTTAAAACTCATTTATATATTATACAAGAATGACATCCACGGCGCCAATTTATAATTGTAACGAATAGTATTTGAATAAAAGCATTTAATCGGGTAAAACCCGGGCGTTGCCCGGGTCATTCGGCTAGTATAATTATATTTGAGATCTTTAAGAACGGTCAAACACACATCAATAAAGAAACTGACTAGGAGACAATACATCGACCCTTTAAGATGAATGTCTTCCGTGATGACACTTTTCTCGCTTCTGATTGGTCCATTCGATCTATCCAATGAGAAATTAAAAATCATTACCTCGACGCTCTCCCATTGAACGTCTAATAATTGATTTCACGCCAACTGTACTCAATATTTTCCTTGAAAGATTTCAATTTGCTTTGTCTATATTCTTGTCTCCCTCTTCCTCAATATCGAAAAATAACTTTATATTGAATTATTAATTGATTTTTTCTAATTTTAGACCTTCTGTAGTTTATCGAGTAGTGTCGGAAATATATCTATTGATACCAGAATTGTTTTTTTCCTTTAGTGATTTTGGAAATATGTCTCTTCTTTAATAGAACTCTAAATATAAGTTCTTATTTTAAAGTCAATACTAATTATCGTCTTTGAGACATACAAATCATAACTAATATATATATATACATATATAGTTGTTTTAATTAAAAAGGTATATATACTGAATATATGACTTTACGCCAACTAAAATATTGTTGAGATATATTTATGGATTGCTCTATTATCAATACATATATATATGTGTTATAAAGAGAGCTGCGGGAGGAAGATATTCATATACAAAAAAAAAGAAAATATCTCCCGTCAAAAATTAATTGTTTTAACGCGTTTTTAATGGGAGACGTGCCTCTTTTAACAATTAGGGGGATTACAATCGTCCTAATATATATGTAAAATCTAGGATACTTATATTCATTAATTTTACCTATATAGACATCAGTGGAAGGACAACAATACATGTTTGAAAGCTTGCTCTATAACCTAAAAAAAGAAGACCATTACTAGCATTATATATATATATATTAAAAATAAAAAAGGCATATCCTGACCAGGAACTTTTGTGGTTAGCATATGGTCAGGTAATGCCTTTTTTATTTTTAATATCAACGCCTGACCTTTTTATTTGTTATTATTATTTTTTCATATATATATCGTTTTCTTGAAAACCATTTCTGAGATTCCATCCTTCAGTGCTGCATATATAAGCAGAATCGTCCAATACAGTATTAGAACTCTGAGAAGCGGTCTGGTGGATTAAATTGGCGAAACTGCTGGGAGGGTTCACCACTGATGAGCCAAGCCCTCCCAATATATTCTTTAATCGCAGTAAGGACAGTAGAAGTTTGTATTATATATAAAAGAAACATTCGTGCTTTTAAATCCTTTCATTTTATATGTATAGATGGCGCGTTATTGCTTTGTGTTAATATATAGTTTTATTAAAAGAAACAACCTTAATAACTATTTATAAAAGAACACAATTATTGTAATATAAAATACATGGATACCCATTATAAAATATGATTATAATATTTATGAAGAGTAGTAATTACAGCAATAACAATAAAGATAGCAATAACAACAACCATTCTAACAATATTTGTAATAATAGGAGATTGATCGTATTGTTTTAAGAAATAAATAAAAATAAATAATTGTGATCAATAGTAAATATTTAACAAAACTGTTACTTCCAACATCAAAAAATGCATATCCTATTTTGTATATTTTAATAAAAGAGTAATACAGGCACTAATAATAGTAATGATAATAACAATTTTAGCTATAATGGTATCATAATGTCCTTTTAATTTACCAGTTTTACTAAAGAAGGCTGTAAGGGCCAGCCTAAAAACTCCCAACTCACCTATTCAAAAATTTCTTCCATCCACAAACAAAAAATAACCTCTCTCTGTAAATCCACCCTAAACCACCCCTGGTACACCCCCATTCCTAACGATTCTTCTTTCCACACCTTTACTAGAGAAAAGCAAAGGCGATTTCAAGATTACGAACAGGACATCTTAGAATGCCCAAATTTAATGGAACAAATCAAAACATTCCCGAAATGCCCCAAATACGATTCCCAACCAGCCAGTCCTGAACATCTATTAATTTGTATCAAATCCTCCAAAAATATATCTGGAAAAACCACAGGACTATAATAAAAAATCTGAGACAATGGGACCTAATGGAGATCGTTTAAAAGACTTGAAGAAAATAAGCAACAACAACTTTTAATTAATATATTAAGGCAACTTCAAAGAATGTAGCTACATTATAAGCCTTAATTTCTGATAAACACGTTAGGATAAATAGAAAATAAAATTACTTCATCAATGCCCTAGCATATATAACATACATTTATATGGCAGAGCACCATATAGAGGAATAGAAAACAACTAAACCTTGATTTCGGTTATTCCATAATATTTGGCCACCCCATTTTCTTAATAAATCAAGAAAAGCAAATCAAGTACGCGTTTCGGGCTGTTTGCTCTCCTTAGCGTGGTGCAGACTATATATCAGCAACCAATATATACCATATATACAAATATGTGAACAAATAATGAAGGTGTTGATATTCAAAACAAAAGAGGCATATCCTGACAACTCACATGAGCATATACTTATATATATATACTCATAGACAAAATTCAAGGAAGGGGAAAATCTTTGATGCCGCGGGTAGTTTGTTTTTTAAGGAGACAGAGGTAATTTTATTCACACACTTTGGCTATCGCGTATGTCTTCAATAAAGGTCACTGTTATATCTTTCAGAGTTATTGTCTGAATCCCGATATACATGGTAAAAGGTAAAAGTTCCTTAAGTTTTGTTCATGACTATAATTAGATATACTTTCAAATTAATATATTCCACTAAGAACAAAAACCAAAAACGTTGGAAGACTTGGCCTCAACATATATATACGCAAGATAAATTTTCAAACTACAATTAAAAATAACAAATATGCAAACATTTCCGTTAACTTTGCTTAGCCCTTTTAAAGCTACTGATCCCAAGAAGATTAGTCAAACATTAATTTTATTGATTTACAAGAGTGAGAACATATTAAATAATAACTTATAACAATAGTAAACAAAGAAAAACTTATTTTATTCTTACAACCTTCTTCTTACACAAATACATAAACTCTATGGAACAATTAATTAAACTTAAAAATTATATATAACAAAATTTATATAAAATATTCCATACAGAGATATGCAACTTTATTTAACCACATTGATAGGTAAATAACCCCAATATGTAAATATGTTACAAATTACAGAAAATTTCACAACTGCAGAAATGTTAAACCAGTCTATCGAATCATTGTAATGCAATAAAATGCAATAAAAATACTTTTTTTTTCGGAAAAATATGTTCGTTTTCAATTTATACTCCATTAGATAGCTACATAATGAGCGAGGGTTACATCAAACCCCAATTACAAAACTACTCCCACAATTATATTATTATCTT